GGAAGGTTTTTAACTGCTATCAGAGATAGCGGGATTGAGTCTACCTAAGCCCTCTACTTTAACTCCTTAAACTAATTTAATTCATCGATATTTTCCCTTCAACGTGTCCATAAGTTACTTMTTTTTGTAACTTKTGTTGATTGATATTTTTCAATTACACCACTATGTTTTAATACATTTAAATTAAATTTACGAGTGTCATAACATAAATTGTATTAATCATATTTTGATTTCATTAATTAGTTCTTTAAAATAAATTATGGGACATATTAAAAATCCAATTTCATAGCTTGTATGAATAAATTTATATTATTAAGTATAACGACATATATATATTACTTATATTTATAAATACTATAAAGTAATAATTATTAATTACTGTTACATATTTTAGTCTTAATATTTATTAATAAATAAAAAAAAAACAATATTTAATTATAATAATTTATGTGGATGATGGATATAATAAAATTATTCTATTAAAATTAAAAGTAAAAGCATGAAGTTTATAAGAAAAAAAAAGTCATAAATTAACACAATTACATAACAGGTAATAACAATATATAAACATAACTTAGAGTTTACTCAAGCATAAGTGGTTATGGAATATATTTTATAATATTATGTAAGCAACAATAAAGGATACGAGCATACAAGAATTTGGAAACTTTTAAAATGTCTTATTAATGACAGTCATTATACAATATTAAATTTAGGCATAATGYATAATTAAATAATTTCGTTCAAGTATCATAATAATTGTTATTTACAACTAGTTAGGTATGCCATAAGACATATATATTTGTGTTAAATAGTATACACTCATTGAACAATAAACATGTACAATTTACCGTCGATGAYATAACTATTCTTAAGCTTAACATAATATCACGACTTCGATTTGTATGCATTTAAAATAATACATTTATATGTTATTATCGTTATAGTATTACGGRATCGCAGTCATAATTTTTTATCCCCAGGTCGATATGAATGACATACGCAACTATACAACAAACACTACATACAAATTAATACCGTATTATCATTATACTATCAGTATATATTACATTTTCTGGTGCGGACTAGGATAAAGAATAATATTATTATAATATATTGTATACTCTTAAAAGGATTCTATCGAAACGAGACACACGTCGAGTGTTGGTTTTAATGTTAAGTTAATAGAAATATCGACCGCGGCAAAAAAAACTGACTACATGTACAGAGATCCCTGTATTATATTATTATGATATCATGATGTACGCCGCCGTCGCCTGCCGGAACCGTTTCACGCGCCTCTGTCTCGTCATCACGAAGTCGGTCACGGTGCATCGAGCGGCACCATCGTCGGAGTTGGCACGAGATTCTGCAGGGACAAGTATCTGGACCGATCGGAGACTTCGACGTTGGTGATGTGCTCGAAGCAGCACGGTGTCGATATGTGCGACTTGTCGGGGAGCCGGCGGACCGGCGCCGGTCTGTGTTTCTGTTTCCTCGCGCTCTTCGACCGRTTTCCGGGGCCGGACAGCCGGATGTTCTCCGGATCGGAAGTGAGCCGATCGATGTGCGACCACAGCTGCTGGGCTGCTTCCGAACAGTCGAAGCTCAGTCCGATCAGCTGGGTGTGGTCGGTCGACAGGCACATGGTGTGGAACCCCTGGCTGGAGACCTTGTACGAAGTCAAGTTGTCGATCGTGTCCCGCCACAGGGCGAAGCACGTGCCGCGCTCCACGAGGAGTATCTGAATGCAGGGCTTGTCTCTGGACCGRGTMTCCCCGCTGTCGTACAACACGACCGGAATTCCGGTGAACTTCAGGTCCCAGCTGCCTCCCGGAGACGAGTTGTGCACGTACAAGTTGGCCATCGATCCGCACACGTACACCTGTGACAAATGTTGACGATATTATAATATAATAATATTTTAAAATAATAACGCGGGGTGCTGTTTGTAGGTGCAGGGTACCGGATGGGGGTGTGGGGCAAGATATATTTTCATAGATAGCTTCAGTCGCTTGCACGATATCGGTAAAGTTTTGGACTTTGGGAACATGGACCGAGTCTATTGTCCAAGTGTCAATGACAGCGATCTCATTGTTGCGATGGGACAATATTTCTGTGTAAATTATGTTGCCTATGTGGACCGCCCGTATGGCAGATGTAGGTAATAATTTATTTTACACTAGTGTCATTGTAAATTATTCKACATATTATTATCAATCATATTATAGCGAATGAGTGATGTAAAACTATTATATACATATTCATATGAACTACCCCGTTACTGAATGAGTCGCTGTTATGCGTTTACATTTTCAATAATTGAACACGTTGTTATAATAATATAATGGTGATTTAGAGTACYACATTATTGCATGTTCTTACTGGCATATCACGATTCTTCTATCCTCTCATGTATAACTTAATTATGTACGAATTATGTATATTTGGACTTAATTAATGGATTGTTTATTTAGGTTAATGAAATTACAGTTTTAAATTATTGTGTTCATTTTAGCTTATTTGTTATTATTACACACTGTTAAGAAATATTGAATCATTATAATTAGGCATTGATAATACTGTTTCAAGAAAATGTTATTTATTTATTTCAGCTGAACCAATTACAGCAAGTTGCATGCATAATACCTGAAACGTATACAAACTAAAATTATAAATTAGAGAACTTATTTTTTTGAGGTTTTATATTTTATTTTTAATTTTCCAAAGAACACTGTAATATTTATATAAGTACTTGTATAATTAGGTGCATATTTTATATACAATCAAACTATATTATAATATCATATATACTTATTAGTTATTGTGCTATGTTGTACAGATTGTGTATTTTAAATTATCAAAAAAAATTA